TTTAAAAGCTCTAAAAGAGTCGATATATTATTATTTGAAGTGAAATAATTTAAAGATACCAAAAGAGCAAATATGTTATTATTTGAAAGGATAAATTTTATTGTAAATGATGTACTATTTTCTTCAAAGTCTCATAGAAATTTGTTAAGTTTCAAAGATATTCATCTAAATTTATATCATATCAAGATAGCAAATATGAATATGTATATATTATAATCATTATACCGAGTAGAAAATATGTATTGAAAAATTTAATCGTTTTCTCTTTTAGTTTTTATTATAAGTATTGAAATGTTGAAATAAATGCTATAGTAAATCAGAAATTTACTAATTCAAATACTTTTATTATGTGGCATGACTAGTTATGTTATCTTAGGTCTTTCATGATGTGAAAAATTATTAAGAATTCATATGGACATCTATTTAAGAGCCAAAAGATTCTTCAATTTAATGAATTTTCATGTTCTACATGTTTTCAAGGCAAATTGATTATTAAGCCATCACAAGTAAAATTGAGATTAAATCTTTAGTATTTTTAGAACATATTCAAGGTGATATATATGGATCAATTCATTCACCATGTGGACTATTTATAAATTTTATGGTTTTAATAAATACATCTACAAAATGGTCATATGTATATTTATTATCTACTCGAAACCCGATGTTTTCAAGGTTACTAGCTCAAATAATTAGATTACAAGCATAATTTATAAATTATGCCATTAAAACAATTCGACTTGATAATACTAATGAATTTTCTCTTAAGCATTAAATTATTATTGATTGGCTATTAGAATAAAGGTTGAAAAATCTGTTGCTCATATTCATACTAAAAAAAGTTTAGTAAAATCATTTATCAAAAGGATTAATTGATAGCTAAATTATTAACAAAACTTCTTGTTTATGTTTGGGGACATGTAATTTTACAAGCAAGTAACATTTGTTTGCGTCGGATCCATAAGTTATCGAAATTCTCTTCTCTTTCAATTAGCTTATGATCATGAGCCAAATATTTCTTATTTAAGAAATTTTAGCATTATAGTATATATCCATAGTGCTCCTCCATAATAAACTAAAATTGGCACTTAAAGGAGATTGACAATATATGTTGGATTTGAATCATCTTCAATAATTCAATATCTTGAATCATGAACAAGAGATTATTTGGAGTTGTTATCTCTTGTATTCACTTTGTCTTATAGTGGATTTATTTTTCTATCATCTTTCTCTTCAATTCTCCTATTATTTCTATTTCTTTCATGACACATTATTAGTACGATTTATTGACTCGTCATTTTGATAAAAACAGACTTTTTCAACATTAGGGGAGAGAATAAGCAAAATAAGCAATTGAAAATATTGAAAAAAATATATTACATGGTGTACTCTATCTTTTATCATCTTGATTCTCGTATAAAATAATGTGAACTAGAAGTTTAAAACACAATTCATTTACAAGGTATTACAAATCAACTACCAAATGTATTCCCATATCATAAATGAGTAACTAAAATACATGTCCCCACTAAAAATGCTCATATTAGAATTGATGTCCTAGAAGGACAATCTATTGATATTATAGCTAATGAATCTAAAGCACATCCGAAGCATGGAAGATCGATTAGTTCTAAAAGTAAAAATCCCTAAAAAAAAGGAAAAATAATTAAAATAAAGGATGCAAATATTCATAAAATGGTCGAAGATATTTTTGATAACGACTTACGGAAGAATTCCAAATGCTTGAGAGAAATCAAGAGAATTTGATGAATTATGTAAATATAGGGAGAAAATAGAACAAAAAATATTTATTGATAAGATTTTTACATATAATGTTTCAATTGATATCTTGAATGAAAATAAAGATCCTAACCTAAATTTATTGAAGAATGTCGAGTATAAAGATAATTAATCTAAATGAAAAGAGCAATCCAGTATGTAAGTATGTTCACTTACAAAAGAGTACTTTTTTGAACTCATAGCTAAAACATCCGAAGATGTTAAGCTAGTGGGATACAGCTATATATCAATGCGAAAACGTAATAAGAAAGATGAGATTGTAAGGTACAAAGCAAAACTTTTAACACAAGAGTTTTCATGAAGAATCGACATTAACTATGAGGAGACATATTCTCCTATAATGGATGCAACTATATTTTGTTATCTCATTAGCCTAACAAAATATATGAAAAAAGTTCACATACATATATTTAATAAATATGATTACGAGTTTATTTATTCATTTGAAATGATATCTATATGAAAATCCTAAAAGGACTTAAGATGCTCGAAACATGTAATACATATTCTCCGTAAATGAATTCAATTAAATTATAGAGATCTCTATCATAATTATTTTAGTATTAGTTTTATTATTTTAAGTTTTAGAAATTCAATATATACTATACTTTTTATATTTATTTTTTATTTTTCAATATCTACTCTTTATTACTAACATGTGTGCATGTGTTATAATTATTTCAATAAATATTTATTGAAAAAAGTTAAAAAAATAACCATATTTATTCATGTATTTTTATAAAGAAATTCGAAAAGGAGTTTGTGATAGTTGCTATATATGTATTGGAACTCTTGAAGAGATTCTAAATGTTATAAGTTAGCTAAAAGGAGAATTTGATATAAATATCTTGGGCAACAAAATTTTATCTTGACTCGTAGTTCAAGCACTTAGAGAATGATATTTTTAGTCATTAGTCAATTTATATAGAAAAATTTTATAATTATTCTATATAAAGATCATCCATTAACTAGCCCAATGGCGAGTTCATTCATTTGATATCCAAAAAGATCCATTTCGACCTCGAGAAGATAACAAAGAACTACTTGATCCGAAGTACCATATTTTATCGCCATCGATGCTTTGATATATATTGCTTATAATACTCGACTTGATATAGTCTTTTCTATAAATTTATTAGCAAGTCATAGTTATACACCAATATGGAGTTTGAAATGGAATTAAACATTTCCTACGTTATTTTTGAGAAAAATTTGATATGATATTTATTTTACTTAAATAAATCAAAATCGAGTTTAATTGGCAATGCAAATGCGAGTTGTTTATTTGATCTATACAAAACTCAATCACAAACAAGGTTATGTATTTACACTTGGTGATACGAGCTATATCATGACGGTTTATGAAGAAAAATATAGCTCGTTAAATATTCAAACCATATAAAAATATCAATTCATTAGGCAAGTCGAAAATATGTTTGGTTAAGATCAAAGATCTATCATATTCGAGAGACATGCGACTTATCTATCAACAAAAAGAAGTTCTAACAATATCATGTGAAGATAATGCTGCTTACATAATTCAATTAAAGGAAGAATTCGATCAAGTGACAATTCAGCAGATTTGTTCACCGAAGCATTACCTATCACAAATTTTGAGAAAATGATTCACAAGATTAAAATACATCGTCTTAAAGATCTCAAATGATATTTTCAATATGGAGAGGCCAAAGGCCAAAGGCAAACATTGAGATTAATGTGTATAAGGAATATTGTATTTTTTTCCTTCACTAGGATTTTTTTTCATTAGGTTTTTTCTTAGTAAGATTTTAACGAAGCATGTTCCTTGTACGATAGACATTCAAGGGAGAGTGTTATGAAATTATAAATATTCATTTAATATTCCTCACTATTCATATGATTCAATTTATCATTCAATATGAGAAATTGAATGGATGATGCAATTTATTCAATTATTTATGCATATTTTAATGCTTCATAATTCTTTTAAATTCTTTTCTTAAAATTGAAGCCTATAAATAGGCTTGATTGTTCATTAGTTTAAGTACAAGTATTTTGTAGAGATTGAGAAATTATTTGGAGTTGTTATATCTTATATTCACTCTATCTTATAGAGAATTCATTTTTCTATTATCTTTCTCTTCAATTCTCTTATTATTTCTATTTCTTTCATAACATGTAATAATTTTTTAAGACCAATAAATTTACTTTTATGGTTTATCTTTCAAGAAAGTTCATACTTAATTGTAATTCATATTTTACCCTTTTTATATATTTTAAAAAATAAAAATTGATTTTTTTTTTTTTTTCATTTTGAAAGGCATCCAATTTCTCTCATGTTAAAAGACCTTATATGTTGTAAAATAGTTTATTATTGAAATCTATTTTTTCTTACATTCTCCATTATTGTAAATCTTGATTGTATTCAAATCAAATAACGATAAAAAAAAACATAGAAAATATAATTCTTCATATCTATAAATCTCATTTTAAAAAATAAAAAGTTTAAATCTCATTAACAGTGCTCTAAAGCTTTTTTATGAATTATAGCAATCAACCAAACCAAAATTGCAGCAAAAATAATTCTTTATTTTTTAAAATAATACATTTTTTTCTAAAAATCCAAGGAAATACACATATGAAAAAAAACATAATAAAATATTTTGTAAAGTATTTTCCTAGATTTTTTTAATTTTTTCTATTTTTCTATTCAAATTAGAAAAATGATTATTTTATTTTTCAAATTTTAAAAAATTATTATTTTTTGGTTAATTTCTTACATATTTTTGCTGTTATTAGCTAATATTATAGTGATAAAATTGATCACGTAAACTGAATTAAATCACATTTTTTCCTCCAGAAAAAGTTGAGGCTTAAATTTGAGATTTGTAAAAGACGGAAGATGTGGGTGTCTATTCAGCTGCAAGATCCTTTACCACTAAAATTGGATGCAAACAGGGTCTTGATGTTTTGGCAGGATATGAATCTCTTGAGTCATGATCACATGGCCCGTATCATATCAGATCAATCGATATGGACCCACATTGTTGCATAATATTATAACATTTTTACATGGTTGATCTTATCCGTTTCCTATTCTCAAATCAAAAGCTTACAAACCGACCTCCAATATACATAACCTTCCCTATAAAAATACACTGCCTCACCCACTGTTTATCACAGCTACGCTTGTTTGAGAGGAGAGAGAAATCACTGTGAGAATGAAGAAGGGAAGCAAAAACGGCAGCAATAGTCCGAAGTCTGATGTGAGGAAAGATAGGAAATCAGGCACTGGAATGAGTGGATCTCCTAAGAAAGGAGGCCATGGGGGCAAGTTCACTTGGGTTGGCGATGGCTACTCTCAGGCTGAGATTGGGTTCGAGAAGGAATCTGTGGATGTGAAGGACCCCAACTTTGAAGACCCAGAAGAGATCCAGACTGTTTGATCGCGATCGTCGTCGTCGTCGTCGTCATCATCATCTTTTAGCTGTCTTTGTAAATATTGATCCCTGATCATGATGTAGAGGTTTATAGTTATTATAAATAAATTTTATTGGATCTTTCTTGTTTTAATTTTGCCAAACAACGATTTTATTTGTTACCGGCTGTTAAAATGCTTGAAAGATTTACAAGATAGGATGTTGCCGTGATTTGCCCTGATTTTTGATAATGTTCCCATTATTTTTTGTACATTATTAAAAAGAAATTACTTGGTAAATTAATAGATTGCAGAGATTGCGTAATGTGGATAAAAATTGGGATTTTGCTTTGGGAGATGGGTTTCGACTTTTGAGCAATAATTTCATCGTCATGATCAAATTCTATACGGCAAGTTTTGGATTCTTGTTATTTATCTGGTGTTTGTATTATATTCATCAAACGTTCTTTGGGACTTGTCACAGACTCACAGGAAATGACCCGATCATCGGGTTGATCCACAAGTTAGTTTTTTTTTTTTAGTAAAAAAATAACGAAAATTTTGTAAAAAAGTCTCTTTTTTTTCCCTGTCTAACTAATTGAGATAGTGTTATTTATTTATTTATTTATACATCATCACCGGGGCAACAAGTAAGTTCTTTTTTAACTTTAACGTGCTTAGATTAATTAGGTCATGAATCACTACACAGTTCAAATCATATTTGACTGATGAGTTAATAGCCTGAAACAAATTAAATCAAAATTCAACCCAATCTAGGTTTGAAATTATTGGATGTTTAGATAAATTTATAGATACTGAAAAATGCAATGCCAATGGTTGTCATTCCACTTTTTTTGCTCTTTTTAATCGTGGGATCTTATTGCCCAATGCTAACATACATTTAAATTTGACTCAGTAATATTAAGAATTAACTAGACATTCGGTATGGTTTTTAGGTTTTCAAAACCAACTCGGCCATCAATCAAAGATTAAATAAATAAATTGATGTAAATTATTAAAAGTTATTATACCATTTAAAAAAAAACCAAAAAAAGAAAAAAGAAAAAGAAAGTATAAATAGCTTAGTGTTTTTTTTTGTTAAAATCAATTTTGACAGTCACTTCGAAATTGTTAGCGAGATGGGCTTGCCTCTTCAAGTAAAGAATTTCTTGGTTTTAGTTTTTAAAATTTTGAAATTAACTTTTAAATAGCAGAAAATAAAGATAATAACAGAATAACTAATAATTATGGTCATTATAACAAAATGATAAAACTTAATAGGTATGGAAATTATGAAAAAAAAATATTTCTTTTTAATGAAAACATGAATCGACAAAGATACCAAACATACCTTTAGACTTTATTTGTTTATTTATTTTTTATTATGAACATGATTGCTTTGGATATTAAAAACACACTTATATGTGACAAAGCAATTTAGTCCTTTCAATTTGAAAAAAAAATATATATATACAATTTGTTCTAAGGCTTTATATTTTATATATTCTTTCCATCTCGTATTATTTGTCCGTGACACAAAAGATAATTATAATTTGGTCTTTTGGTTTTTTTGAAAATTTAAATTTTATAACCCCTCCATAGAGAATGATAAAATCGACCAAAACTGAAAATTTATTTTTCTAATTAAAAATATTTACCAAATGGCTAAATATCATGGAATTTTTGGTTTGTTCGAATGACTACAAAATGCTACCGAGTGGACCGGATTTGTTATTTATCAAAACTTGGTTTTTTTTATTTTCAAATACTGAATTTAATAATTTTATGAGGTTCGAATACTATTTAAAGATGTCTTTGGAGTGATTTTGTACGGATTAGAATGTTGGAAATTGAGTTTAGGGGTGAACATTTACGTACAGCTTTGCTGTTCATCATGTTGATTTTTTAGGCCAAAAATCATTTATGAAAACTTTAAACCATCTATACCTTTCGTATTGACTTGGGTGTTGAATGGGTATTTGACTCACTTTTGGAGTTTTGTTTTCTCATTTATTTTATGTTGGCACATAAATTAAAACTAAATTTATTATATATATATATATTTTGAACAACTTGAATTAAAATTAAGGGTTAGTATTATTAACATTCTACTATTTGTGTTGGAAAAATATTACCTAAAAATGTTGAATGAAAAACACCAAAATAGGTTTACCGAATTTTATTCGTGACACAACTAGGTTGTTTTCTTGAAATGATACGCACCGTCCGCGGAATTTCATCCGATGCAACGGATCAAAGATATATTGCACGTCGTCCCACGAAACTTTAGCGACGGTCAAAAAACCGTTGCTAATTACTAAAATTAGCAACGATTTTACCGATTTTAGCAATGGTCTAAAAAACGGTTACAAATGTTTTAATTTGTGACCACTTTTTAGCAACGGTCTACAAATCCGTTGCTAATTTGAAAGGTTAACCATTTTAGCGACGGTTTCTATGAAAAATAAACCGTTGCAAATTTAGCAACGGTCCACCTCGTCGATAAACCGTTGCTAAGGAGATAATTGCGTTTAGCGACGGTCACAACCCGTTGCTAAACATTATTTAATATTTTTACAATGGTTTTCTACAAAAAAACCATTGCAAAAAAAATTAAACATTTAGCGACGATCCAAAACCGTCGCTAATCCGTTACCAATTGGGCTCGGGCTGAAATAAAAGGCAAATACCCCGCATTAGCAACGATTTGATATCCTAAAACCGTTGCAAAATTATTCGGTTTAGCGATAGTCATGGACCGTCGCTAAACCGTTGGTAAGCGCTTAGCGACGGTCTAGCCATTTCTAACGTAATTAAATTTATGTTTTGCAACGGTTTTTCAAAAATAACCGTTGCAAATAGACTAATTAGCGACGGTCACGGACCGTCGTTAAACCGTTGCTAAAAGTAAACCGTTGGTGAAAAAAGGTCAAATTTAATTTTAGCGACGGATTAGTGATGGTCGATGATCGTCGCTAAAAACTTTACCTTTTAAAAGTTCCGAGTTGAATGGAAATCTGAAATTCTCTCTTCTCCTCTCTTCTTCTCCTTCGACAACGACTTTATCCGTCGTTTTTTTGCTCCAAACTTCTCCTCTCTTTCCTCAAAGCTTTTGTATCCTAAAAATCTCCCTCTTTCTTCCCTCTTTTCCTCCTTCTTTCAATATTTCTCTCTACTCGTTCAACCTCGTCTTTTTCAATGACCATTCCGGCGAGGTCTCATCGACGGTAGCTGCCGCCTCTCATCCTTCTCTTGGTGACAGGTCCACCTAAATCTAATCCCTCCTTTCAATTTTTAATTTTTTCAGTTATTTATTTAAGTAAAATATTTTTTTTAATTTTTTTGTTTAATTACTTGTTATTGTTAGTTTAATTATTGAATTGATTGTTTATTGCATGTGTTTTTTTAACTTGATTATTTAATTAAAATTTATTTGATGTGTTATTTTAGTGTAAATTGTGATAGTTAATTGAAATGTTTAATTGTTAATTTAATAATAATTGTTAATTGTTATGTTAATGTTGTTGTTAATTCTTGATTAATTGAATATTATTGTTAATTTTTAAATTTACTTGTTATTTTTATTTTTAGTTGTTGATTGAATTAATTTAATTGTTAATTATGAATTTACTTACTTTAATTTATTCTTAATTGTTTTAGTTAGAAAATATAATTGTTATATTTTATTTTATGTTATTATCTTAATTGTTATTGTTATTGTTATTAGTGTAGTCGCTAATTGTTAATTTACTTGAGTGATTAAAAATTTATTGAAAACATTATTAAGTTTATTTATTACTAGATCATTAAGTTAAAGCGTTAGGTAAGTACAAAATTAATCAATAAATTAAATATTAATTAAATTATAATATATTTTTATTTTATTGATTAAATATTAAGCTTATATATTTAGTTTTTCATTTAGTTATTTAGTTTTTCATTTAGTTAAATAGATAAGTAATTACAATATTAATTAATAAAAAAATATATAGCATTTTTTTGAAATTATTTTCAATAGATAAAAAATTAAGTTATGACAAATATGTTAAAGGCATATTAATTAATTTTAAAAATAAGTCGTATTAAACAAATTAATATATACTTGTTGAGTATAGTTTTATTATATTATTAAAAAAATTTTGGTTTTTCCGAAAGTATATTAAATAGATAAAAAATAAAGTTATTAGAAATATTTTTAATTGTTAGTAATTAAATAAATAATTAAGTTGTATTTAAAAATTTGATATAAACTTAGCTTGTATATTTAAAAAATAACTTGTGTGTAACAAAAAAATATTTGAGATTTAGTAATAAAAGTGTTTTAAGTAATTACAAAAACAATTAATATAATTACTTAATTACTATTTTTTTTAAAATGAATTCGGATTGCTCTTGGATTGACTTTAGATTAACTGGTGGATTATTAAATGAGCGTTTTGTAGAAGGGGTTAATGAATTTATTAATTTTGCGGTTAGTCATCCACGAGTGCATGGATGAAAATAAGATACGATGTCCATGTAAACAAAAAAATGTCAAAATCGTAGTTATGAAAACCCCGATACCGTTAAGTATCATTTGTCGAGATATGGGTTTGTGTCCGGGTATTATGTGTGGAGACGTCATGGAGAGAATGATTTAGCAATTAATGACAATTCGTTTAATAATGTTGAATAAGAACAAATATGTGATGATTGTCAAGTTAATCGATACTACACAAAGGTGATGGATGCAGTGGTCCATCTTTTAATCCGTCTAATACAAACGAAGACCCAAACCCTTCGCATAAGCATTTTATGATTTATTAGATGCATCGAATAGAGAAATATTACCCGGGTCGGAAAACCATTTGCGATTATCCGTAATGTCTCGTTTGTTGCATCTCAAGTCCGAGCATCATTTTTCGGAGAGGTGTTACGACGATTTATGTTAACTTATGAAAGAGTTAATGCCTCTCGATAATTGCATGCCGGAAGACTTTTATAGTACAAAAAAATGATAGAAATGATGGGTTTACCCGTTGAAAAGAT